CTTTGGATGACAAATATCTGTGTACAGGTACCATTTACGGCCATTTGCAATGTCCCTCAGTCACATGACCATGATTATGCTTTTGCTGAAAACCAGGGTTTACTTCTGGTTTGGGGCAAAAGCGTCCCATAGCGAACAATGGATTCGCTTAATGACTGTGTGGTTCATTTAACAACCACCACAAAAAAGGATGTAAAATCAGGTCCAATCACATAATGATCTGTTTTATAATTATCACAACCTATGACTGTAATGGGCAGGCTACACATTACACATTACCTGTACACACCTTTCCTCAGCAATTGTTTCCAAGAGCAAATTGTTCTTTGAGAAGTCTTCAAAGTAAATTTTGTTCTTCCTTTCTCCTCTTTTTATAATGTAGTTCCACCCCCTTCCTCCTTGGAATTAGGCATTGTGCCCTCAATTACACCGACATAGAACAATATGAACACTGCACAGACATAGCTGTATTAGCCCATTGTGAAGGAACTACAATCATGTAAGATTATGAAGGCTGGTTAATAGAATAGAATAGAATGGAATGGAATGGAATGGAGTCGAATGGAGTGGAGTCGAGTGGAGTCGAGTGGAAGAATAGAATAGAATAGAATAGAATAGAATAGAATAGAATAGAATAGAATAGAATGGAATGGAATGGAGTGGAGTGGAGTGGAGTGGAGTGGAGTGGAGTGGAGTGGAGTGGAAGAATAAAATAATAGAATAGAATAGAATAGAATAGAATAGGAGTTGGAAGGGACCTTGGAGGTCTTCTAGTCCAGCCCCCTGCTCAAGCAGAACCTATACTATCTCAGACAGGTGATTGTCTAATTTCTTCTTAAAAATCTCCAGTGATGGAGTGCCCAAGATTTCTGGAGGTAAGCTGTTCCACTGGTTGATTGTCCTCACTGTCAGGAAGTTTCTCCTTAATTCCAGGTTGCTTTTGATCAGTTTGCTTTTGATCAGTTTCCAACCATTGTTTCTCATCCTTCCCTCTGGTGCTCTGGTGAACAACGTGACCCCCTCTTTCTTATGGCAGCCCGTCAGATACTGGAATACTGCAATCATGTCTCCCCTATTAATTAAATTAAATTTAATTAATTTAAACTCACTCAGAATAACCCATCAGGAATACTGGAATAAATGGATTTTTGAATTGATTCATCAAGGCTATTTCATGTAATCAAATAAGCATGACATGGAGTGGAAAAAGTGGGCAAAAGAATATTTGACAGAGAAAAACTGCACCTATTAAAATGTGGCCTGCAGGGTTCCTATATTCTACTAGTTTACTATCAAATGGTTGGTATTGGATCAGTCTGTTCTACCTCAGGATTTCATTACAAGCAAGCCAATTGTAACCAGGCCTTGCAGTTATTTGAATCGTACATCCCACCTCGTTTGCCAATTTGGGTTAGTCATCCACTAACAAAAGAGAAAAAAGGGTATGGTTAGAAAAATAAATTACATCTCAAATCAGTTTTCTTTCTCTATTTAAATAAACCCCCAAATATGGCAAAAGGTCACAAAATATGGCACTTTACTGAATAAAAATATTTGAATGAGGTTAAACCCAGCATCTGAACAGGTTCATTGATCCACCACCATTCCCCACAAACTCAAAGTCAATTCACAGATGAAAAGTAATTATTTCTTTTGTTCCATTGGAGTGGGACGGTTTTAATCCTTCCTCTTAGGTGTCACTGCCCCCTTGTGATCATGAATGGTAAATATAGGTATAATATATAATTATATATTGTACCAGTATTCCAAAATTGGCACCTGTGGCTAGCTTTCACTGCCATTCAAGGTCCGTTATGGACATCTCTAAAATCCACAAAAGACTTCAAATTATTACTTTTTTACATGTCTTGTGATATTAAATGTATTGTAATAACCATACTATATCTTGGTGCTCTCTGAGCTTGCTTGTTTTCTTGCAGAAGTTTCATTACCCAAACTAGGTAACATCATCAGTGCTAGTAAGGAGTGTGGTTTATATTCTGGTGGTTTGGTGGCCTGACAGGGAAAGTCACCAGAATATAAACTGACAGCAAACCACACTCCTTTATTGATACTATTTCTTTAAACAGTGTTTCAAAGTATTGTATGACTTTCAGTGTTTTACAAATAGGATTGTCTTGCTTTATCATGTTAAGTATTACAAAGAAACCAAATTCCTAGCAATTTTCTGGGAGGGGAAAACTACTCACTATTATGTTCACGATTCGCAGCGTACTGTAGTACTGATATATCTGCTGCCCTAATGTATATTAATCCCGTACATCCCACAAAAACTAATTTGCTATCTTTCTAAATACTCAAAGTGAGAAATTTCCCAAACCGTAATCCTATTAGAAATCATTTCATTTCTGGTCCAGTGATAATTTGCAGGTATTAGCAATTTAAATAAGTTTAGGCCCGTGGATTCATTCAGTTATATAAAGTTCTTACAGAAAGATGCCTATGGATTAAAAGCAAGAAGGCAATTATACAATAATTTTGAAAAATGAACAGATTACAGACCAAAAGCACTGTAAGCCCAAGGAAAAATATTAAGAGAACTTTGAAATACAGTTGTATTCATGAGTGTAAGGCTAAACAATATGTGTAAAAAATAAAATTTAAATGTATGAACTAAATGTAACTGATGAAGATGTTTAGCTAACCTAAAAACACTTAGGTCACATCCACCATTACCTTCGGTAATTAACACATACAGCAGAATTAACCATACCAGAATTTCAACATATAAATGCCACTCTTCTTTTATTTATTCATTTATTGATTTTAATATAATGAAAAAAAACAACAAATAAAAAAACAAAATGGAAAGATAAAGATATATACACTGACAAAGAAAAAAGCACAAAGGAAGTGAAAAAATACAACAAAGGAAAAAGAAAAAATATAATATCATTTTAGCAGGAAATAATTATAATTCTATATGCTGTTATCTAATGCAATTATTTATTCAAGGACATATATTTATTTAAGATATTTACATAATCATATTTCTTTTTTTTTAACCTAAGATATTTTGTATAAATGACTCCCATATTTCATTATATTTGTCCATACTAATCTTACATCTATAGGCACTTCATTCATAGGTGGCAGGTACAATCAGTCCTTAGTCCATTGAGTGAATGAGGCCATCTTTCTAATGCTGCAATAATAGGACACAGAAAATCTATTTACAGACCATAATAGGACACAGAAAATCTATTTACATTGTCCAGTTCTCAAATTCCAAATGCCAGGTATGCAGTGGTGGGATTCAAATATGTGAACTATCAGTTCTCTGTGTGGATGCCGCCTCCAGAAGTCCATTCTGGGCCTGGGCAACAAAAAATTAGCTACTGGTTCTGCCGAAGTGGTGCGAACCGGCTGAATCCCACCACTGCAGGTATGTAGTTCAAAAAATATTAACCTCTGAGTTTAAAACTGGATTCCCCATGAAGTCATAAAAAGATATGAGTCAAGTATGATACATTCACCTTTCACCTCAGAATGTAGATATACAGGAATGCTGTGGATATAATTTACTTAGACTTCAGTAAGGCATTTGATAAAACAGATCATGATCTACTACTTGATAAGATAGAAAAATGTGGGTTAGACAGCATCACCACCAGATGGATTCGTAGTTGGCTGACCGGCCGTACTCAGTGTATGGTCCTCAATGGAACTGCATCTACATGGAGGGAAATGTGTAGTGGGGTGCCCCAGGGCTCTGTTCTAGGCCCAGTGCTCTTCAACATCTTCATCAACAATTTGGACGAGGGGATAGATGGGGAACTCATCAAATTTGCAGACGACACCAAGCTGGCAGGAATAGCCAACATTCCAGAAGACAGGCTTAAGATACAGGAGGATCTGGACAGACTTGAACACTGGGCGCTATCTAACAAAATGAAATTCAATGGTGAAAAAAGTAAGGTTCTACATTTAGACAAGAAAAACCAAATGTACAGGTATAGGTGGTACCTTGTTCAATAGTAGTAACTGTGAGAGGAACCTTGGAGTCCTAGTGGATAATCACTTAAATATGAGCCAGCAGTGTGCTGCAGCTGCCAAAAAAAGCCAACACAGTGCTAGGCTACATTAACAGAGGGATAGAATCAAGATCATGTGAAGTGTTAATACCACTTTACAATGCCTTGGTAAGGCCACACTTGGAATACTGCATCCAGTTTTGGTCACCACAATGTAAAAAAGATGTTGAGACTTTAGAAAGAGTACAGAGAAGAGCAACAAAGATAATTAGGGGACTGGAGGCTAAAACATATAAAGAACGGTTGCTGGAATTGGTTATGTCTAATTTAATGAAAAGAAGGACTAGGAGTGCTGTTATTGCCTTTAATTGCAGTTTATAATAATACTTCAATTTACTAACTTTGCTATCTGGTACGCTTGTGCAAAAAGTGGAAAAAAATGGGATATTCCAATTTTAATTTAATACAAAAATTAAGAGAATGTGTGTCTGCCTATATATAAAATGTGTGTTTGTGTGTGTGCATTTACATTTTATATGTATAAAAACACAAGCTACTTTTATTGTATAAGAACAATGGCTAGAGTGCATTAAGACGTTCATATGAAAGGAATTTGGTTGCATTGTTTCATATGAAAGAAGACCCAGTTCAAATGTGCATGATAATTAATCCAGAACCATATTTTCTGATGCTGGTGAGCTGTTTCTGCCACAGATTCCTCTACATGGTGGGTCTGACAGAAAACAAAAAGCTGCAAGAAGGGCATGGATATGTATGCCCTGAGGTCTTCCTGCCCCACAACATTTTTCAGATTCAGCCATGCAGCAAAGCAGGGCCCCCGTGCTTCCCTTTAGCATTCAGCCCTTCCCTTCCTGGTGGCCACAGATTCCCCACTACCTGGTCAGTCTCCAGCTACTTTCTCAACCACCCTCTGTATGACTTATACCAGAGGGCAGGTAATCAGTAGCTGGAGAAGGACATGAAGAAGCCAAACAAGTTTTCTTTACTGTTTATTCTCTGGGTGTTGCTTTTTAAACAACAGTGTGCAAGGTTGTGAAGCTGCCATTTAGGCAAGAAGAAAGATAGTTTTCTCCCCTCTAAACTTTTTCCTGCAGGTAAAGATATTCTTGTAAGGGCAATCTGATTAGCTCTCCTTTTTTTGCTGTCATTTTCATTTGTAGAATTTGTAGAATTTCCCCTTTAGCTATTCACTTCCTCTTCTTCTTAGATAGAAGCAGAGCCATGCCTTATACCCAGCGGGACCCCAGCACACGGGCTCCTCCTCTGCCCCAAAATGCTTGTGCCACCCACTCCAGTGGCCAAACCTACCAGGAGCTGAAGCTTGAATGTCAGCAGAAGGAGACCCTCTTTGAGGACTGTGATTTCCCAGCCAGTGACTCTTCCCTGTTCTACAGTGAGAAACCGCCCGTCTCTTTTGTGTGGAAAAGACCAGGGGTAAGTTTAAACCAAGAGTGCATTTTCTATGAGCTGAAATTTGTACAAAAGCAGAAAAAATGTCTCTCCCTCAGGGTGATTGTTAAACATGTAATATATCATACATTTCAGAAGAAGTGGCTGGTGTTTCTTTTCTTTTTTATATGAAGTTTTATTTAAAAGTTTAAAGGAAAAATAAAACAAAACAAAAACCTAGCAAAAGCTTAAGAGTCAGGAGAGCGAAGACAGAATAAAGAAAGTGCAATAAAATAAAAAATATAGGCAGAAAAAAAGATACGCAAAAAGAAAAAAAAAGAATGACTTCTGACTTCTTGAACAGCAGATATAGATAAAACTTGAGTTCAACTCTTGCTTTATAATTACAACGTAACATCCATTTTTAAAATGATCTATAACTATCACTACTCATTAAATTCATGTGTCATGATTTAATTTTTTTTAACTTCCCGCAAAAAGTCCAAAAGGACTGCCAATTGGTATTACATTTGGCCAATATCTTTTCTCTAATCAGAGATGTCAGTTTCAACTAGCTCCATCAGGAGGCTAATGTTTCTTGAGTGCCTCATAATTTGCTTTTCTACATGACTCCTGGGTTTCCCCTGGCCCTTTTTCCCTCCAACCCTCTATTCTGGCTAAATGTACGCTCTGCGTCTTATTGAAGATACCCTGCTATTTTGTTTTCGGATCAGATTGACCCACATAAGATAAAGTGCAGAATTTGAGCTTTCCTGGCAGTGGTTATGAATTTTGGATGAAAATGGCATTGACTGTATCTGCAAATGCTCAAGAAAGTATCAAGAGGTAGAAAAAAAAACCTGGGATGCAGGAATAAAAGCCAGCCTAATGCAATTGTCACATTTCATTTATTTTTGCTCCATAATTCACTGTCTTTCATTATCCTTTTTGGCTATTACCTGACTTTCATTTACCTGGGGTGTAAAAACACCCAAAAAGAAAGAATGGAATGGAAAAGAATAAGAATAAGAATAAAAGAATAAGAATAAGAATAGAATAATTTATTTGGCCAAATGTGATTAGACACACAAGGAATTTGTCTCTGGTGTAAAAGCTCTCAGTGTTAATCATAATAATGATACCAATAAGAGGGGATAGTAAAGAAGATGGAAAGAGTATTAATACTTCAGCCATACAACATGGCTAAATAAGCTTAGGCATAAGAAAGTGCTGTGAGGATTAGGTGTTCGGCAGAGTGATGGCATGAGGAAAAAATACTGTCCCTGGATCTAGTGGTTTTGGCATGCAATGCCCTATAGTGGTGTCCCAAGGGGAGGAGTTGAAACAGTTTATGTCCAAGATGTGAGGGGTCTGTAGATATTTTCTCAGCCCTTCTTCTGTCCTGCACAATATACTGGTCTTCTCTGGAAGGCAGACTGGTTGTAATTGTTTTTTCTGTAGTCCTAACTATCCAGTGCAAGGATAATGGAGGAACAAAGTTGTCATGCTACCAAGGAGCAAATCTCTTCTCAAGTAGTAATGCCCAACTGGCATTTCAAATGTCTGCTAGCTCGCTTAATGAGCATAAGTACTTTTACATTAGAATGTAGTTTTATTGGGTGCATATTTGGTTGCAGTTAGCCCACCAGCCTACTGTTTCAAGTATCATGCTTTCTGTGTAAGGTGTTCCTTCTAAGGTCTGTGAAGAACTTCAAAATGGAAATTCCTCTGAATCCTAATGCTTACCATCCTGATCTTGAATCAATCCCCAAATCTCTTTGTATTAATTCGTTCATTCATTCATTCATTCATTCATTCAATTTCTATAGCCACCCAACTCAACCAAGTGACTCTGGGTGGCTTACAATTATAAAACAATTAAAAACAATAAATAGTAAATAAATACAATGAGCAGCCAAAATAATTAATCAGCTAAAAGTAAAGCCAAGTAACTGGACCTTTACACAGAATTGGGTTCACAGCCAAGTTTTTAAAGCCCTGAGAAAAGGCAACAGGGTTGGGGCCATTCTAATCTCTGAGGAGAAAATATTCTATAAGGGGCTACAGCAGAAAAAGGCTGCCTTCTAGTTCCTTCCAGCTGACACTCTTTGGCTGACAGGATATGCAGCATGCCCAGTTTGCTGGATTGATTTAGATGGATAGAGACTCTTGGAAAAAGATGGTCCCTCAGGCAACTTGGTTCTAAGCCATGTAGGGCTTTAAAGGTGACAACCCAGCACCTTGAATTGTAAACAGGAATATTGTGAGAATATAATGGCAATAGGGTCATTCAGTCTGAATTCCTTATGCAGATGAATAAAATAACTATTTCTCCAAGGGGTCATTGCAAGTTGTAGAGAATACATGTGAAAAGGTATTTGATTTTCTCCTTCCCATCAGGTACAATTTGGATTCAGAACACAGTCTTATTCTCCCTATGATTTATAATAAGAGGACGTCTTACCTAAATGGCAACTTTTGAAAAATACACTCTTATAAACCTAATTAATACCCCAAAGTGATTTCTTACTCTATACCAGTGGTGGCGAACCTATGGCACGGGTGCCAGAGGCGCCACTCGGAGCCCTCTCTGTGGGCACACATGCCGTTGCCCCAGCCTTGCCTCCGCCCATGACCCCCTCCTCACTAGCAGCCTCCCTGGAGGAGAGTTCCCCCTGAGCATGGCCCATGCGGAGCAGCGCAGCCAAGGACATGGCAGCCAGGCAGCATAGACAAGACTCTGCCCTCACGCCCCAATGCGCACAGTTGATGTTGCAGGGCGTGGGCAGAGGGCGTGGCCACCATGGTGCTGCTGGGCTGCCTGGGCGATCTGTGGCGGGCCCTGGAGGCAGTGAGTGGCCCTGCGGGCAGGCAGGGTGTGGTGGAGCAGGGGCGGGGGCAGTTTTTGGGCACTCAGTCTCTAAAAAGTTCGCCATCACTGCTCTATACGCTTACATGGGTAAATCTGTGCTATATTCAGTAAATAAATTACTTTTGATTCATGGCTTGTAATTCTTCTAGGTACAAAAATTAAAAACCTTTGAATCACACTTTTAACAACCATAATAAAAAAAATCTCCAAGAATATTGTCAGTGGTGATGTATTTTATTTGATGTACTGCATTGTTTAAAACTCTATTTATGGAATATTTGTACTTCCTTATGAATCACTTTATAGGAGTTGGGCCAACAAAAAAATTCACTTGAATTTCTATCATACATTTTAGTTTGCTTGCTTGTTTATTTACTTACTGGACTGATATAACCACCCAACTCATATAATGACTTTAGTGGCTAATGATCTATAAAAGCATCCCTAAAAACAAAGGTTCCCTTCCTCCACTGCCAGGCACCAATCAAACAGCCTCCCAGTTCATCCTGCATCCTAGCCCAATGCTTGGGGGCAACGCCAGGTATTTGTGGCCTTCTAGAAGGCTAAAAGTTTAGGAATCTCTCAGATCTCAGGTTCCAAAGGGCTGAGAAGGGATGTTTCCAAGATCCCATCAGATGGCAACATTTAAGGGAGGGGACCTTGGATGCACCTACCTTATTCTACCAGTAGTAGGATGAGCCAATGGGCCTCAAAGAGAGACGGTCTATAGGTAACCTGACCCTGTACCATGTAGGACAGGGGTGTCAAATTCTATTTCATTGAGGGCCGCATCAGCACTGCGGTTGCCCTCAGGGGGCCAGGTGGGTGTGGCCAGGATGGATGCGGCCTACTGGGTGGGTGTGGATGGAGTGGGTGTGGCCTACTGGGTGGGTGTGGCCAGCTCTACATCGTTCATGTCAAGGGTGTCTGTGGGGCCTGGGCAGGAGTGGGATAGATCTGAGGGTCTCTGGCAGAAGGAGGTGGGACCAGGGCAAGTGCCAAGGCATGGTCCACTGGAGGAGCCTTACTGTTCCTCTCAGGCCATGCAGGGGGGGGGCTTATGGAGCTAAGACTGAATGCGTTTCAGCATAGATGGCCACCACAAAATTGTACATTGGCTCCCGGCTAGCCTGGGCCAGGGCCAAGGCAGTGGGGGCCGTTCCATCACTGTTTCCAGGATGGCTTCACGGGCCACATGAAACCACTTTGCGGGCTGTATCCAGCCCCCAGGCCTTGTGTTTGACATGTTTGATGTAGGACTTTAAAGGTGATAACTATCACTTTGAATTGTGCACCTGGAGAGCAACTGGGAGTCAGTGTAGCTGGTTCTCCTGCTTGAGCAGGGGGCTGGACTAGAAGACCTCCAAGGTTCTGTTCTATGCTATTCTATGCTATTCTATTCTATTCTGTTCTGTTCTGTTCTCTTCTCTTCTCTTCTCTTCTCTTCTCTTCTATTCTATTCTCAAATTATCAGATTTTTCTACTGGGCAGATCACCGTCTGTTCTTTGGTAAAGGGGATGCAGCATGACTGTGATACAAAAATACAGGTGGTCCTTGACTTACAATAGTTTGTTTTGTGACCATTCAAAGTTACAACAGCACTGATAAAAGTGACTTACAGCTGTTTTTCATCCTTATGACCGTTGCAGCATCCCCGTGCTCACATGATCAAAATTCAGACAGTTGGCAACTCACTCATTTTTATGACAGTTACAGTGTCCTGGGGGTCATGTGACCAATTTTTGCGACCTTCTGACAAGCAAAGTCAATGGGGAAGCCAGATTTATTTAACAACCGTGTCACTAATGCAGCAACTACGATTCACTTAATAACTGTGGCAAAAAAGGTCATAAAATGGGGCAAAATTCACTTAACAAATATCTCACTTAGCAACAGAAATTGTGATCGTAAGATGAGGACTACCTGTAGGTAAGATTTGTAAAATAAGGCCATCTGCCCACCTAAGGCAGCCTAGGCAGAACACATCCTGGTTTGGTGTTGCTGCTTTCAAAGTGCTGCGATTAATCCAGGCTCGAGGCTGCATTTCATACTAAAGCAAACAGTTTAATTCAGTTCATAAGGTGCTACGTCTGTCCTTAATGGAAGCTAAATAACCTTAGATCTCTTAGGGAATATAGTAAAAGGATTCTGTCTCGTATCCCAGACAAGACA